ATCAAGAGTACCTTTAACTGACGAGCGTGTATGCGTAGGTATATGGATGTGGAGGAAGCGAGAGAGGTGTGTCAGGATCGTGCAAAATGGAAGTCCATAATCTCTGCCTACCCCTCTGGGTGACAGGCGTGAGTGTTTATGTTATGTTATGTTATGTTCGGCATGCAGCTAGTCCGTGTTATAAAAGTATTTGCAACTAATATAATAAAATAGACAATTGCTTTTATTACACAGGGCGACTCTGGACATTGTCCTTTCACAAGGAAAAACATCCAGAATCGTGATAATTTTTGTACACCATATAAATACTTCTTCCCAGCGCGATTCAAACCCGCGGCCTTCAGCACTGCAACTCATTGCTAAGCCACTGCGCTACGGAGCATTCAAATATCCACGAACTATTATATTTTTGAGACATGCAGTGCCCTCACGTATATTATTACTTCATCACTTAAAACTGCAATTAACTATATCAATAAAGTCGGTTTGAATTTAACTTAAGTAGTAGCTCGCAAAAAAATTAATTTAATTTTGACGTCAATCCCCTGGGCTACAACTCTTTTTAATTCATAATAGTAATCATCTAAATACTTTTTACGCTTGCACTAATATTCCTTCGCTATTTATCACTGTAACTTTCTACTCAATATGTTGCGTTATTAGTACTAATGTTTGAACCATCTGTCGCTTTCCCTCCGCAAAGAATAATAGAGCGAGACTAAAAGGCGTGGCGCTTAATTCTTTAAATAGCATTCTTATTACGTTAATAAAGTAGTTGCAGCCTGTTCCCCTATGGTTATTAGTTGTTACTTGTATTGTATTGTGTTATTTATACACAGTAAATCAAGCTTTTTCTGTTTTAAAGTTTTTATAAGACCTTGAGTTTCATAGTCCTATGTATGAACTGATATACCACCTGATACACCTAGATGATACATAAGGCAGATTAATTTAATGTGGTATTCCATGCCAGTCAACCACGGGCAACAAAGAAAAATATTTATGTTAAGTCCCGTTTAGAGTGTATAATGTTTATAACTGTGTACTATAATTTAATAAGCTACCAACTATCAGTTTTTATAGTGTAAAATCATTCGGGATAAGTATATTTGGATTATTAACGGGAAGGAAACACATTAGAGAGTGATAAAAAAAGAATTAACTTTTCTTTTGTGCGTTTTAATTCATCTTAATAACTAGACTACGGAGTTATATAAGATGAAATAAATTACATATAAAATATATATTATATAAAATATAAATATATAATTAATAAAAAATAAATTATATATAATAAAATATACAAAGCAGTGGTCTTGCCATTATAGTTTAACGGAGTACCAGACTATTAAGCTCAAGAGATATAGGAAAAATTTAGTTTTTTTACATTTTTCAATAATATTCGATATGTAATAATTATTTATATACAGTCCACCTGATGGTAGATGGATGCTTTGGACATATCTAATGTACATACATACATATACATATTATTCATTAGTATCAAAAGGCTTTATCACCATAAGGACTAAAATAGAATACCTCGTTTCCAGTAAAAAGAGTTCCCGGTTCTCTGCACTCATCGTACAAAACATGGCAGCACTAAGCTGCTATTTTACACTACTATTCCGTAAGAGTCGCTCCCTAGTCGAGCTTATCATCTTACCAACCTATTGCCAGCATCAGCCTGGATACTTTCGATCTCGATCACAACGACTTAACCCCTGAAATGAGGTAGTCACTACCAAGCTGTTTCAAAAATGATTTGTATCGTTAGTTTTGTAACATATTATAAGACCAGATTTTTTTTTAAATATCAAACTTTTTTTATAGGATATGGTGACAACGAGCACACAGTCTACCTGATGGTAATTGGTTGCTGTAACCCATATACATCTACATTTATCCTCATTTGTGTGAATCAAAATGCAGATGCGTTGTCACCCGTGAGGACTAAGATGGAACGCCTCTGTTCCAGTAATACAGGTCTCCGGTTCTCTACACTCATCATACGAAACACAGCAGTGTTAAGCTGCTATTTGACGCTGGTATTCTATGAGAGCGTGGTCCTTCCCCGGTCGAGCCGACCAATTCGTGCTACAACTATACTTCTAATATAGCTGCAGCATGGTTCTACTACGTAAAATGCCTCACACCTTTAATTATACTGACGCTCTATAACATTCAAATTGGAATACAGCAATGCAATCACCGCTATTTGGCAGCAGAAACAGGCAAGAGGTTGGTATCTACCCCGACAAAATCCTATGCAGAAATAGAGTTCTACCTACTATAATATACTTTTTTCAGTTACTTTTCGAATACTCCTTACAATTTTCAATTTATAAAATAAAAATTAAGAATTGTCAATTATACGTGGTTGGTACCATGCTGCAGCTATATTACGGGTATAGTTGTAGCACGAATGGGTCGGCTTGATCGGGGAAGGACCACGCTCTCACAGAATACCAGCGTAAAATAGCAGCTAAACACTGCTGTGTTTTGTATGGTGAGTGTAGAGAGCCGGAGACCCCTTTTACTGGAAAAGAGGCATTCCATCTTAGTTCTCACGGGTGATAACGCATCTGCATTTTGATTCTTTATTGAGGATAAATGTAGATGTATGTGGGTCACAGCAACAACTTACCATCAGGTGGACTGTGTGCTCGTTTATCACCCTAATTATATTAAAAAAAATTAGGTTTTAGACTTCATATCACTCTTGTGCTAATAAGTGCTCATTTGCCAGCGCTGCCTTATCATCCTATTACAATGTGGGTATCTTCGGGGCAAAATAGGCTTTTGTTCGGCTAAGTCAGTGCATTTTACCGTCTTCGGCTACATCGTAAATACCATCAGGTTTTTAAAGTTTATTTAAAAATTTTTTTATAGAATAAGGGTAATAAATGAATACACAGCCCATCTGATAGTAAGTGAATGATGTGGTGTGTGAATACACATCCACATTTACCATCGATTAAGAATCATAATGCAGAATGCCTTTTCACCCCTGAAAACTAAGATGGAATGACTCGTTTCCAGTAAAAAGGATCCCCAGTTCTCTACACTCACCATACGAAACACAGCAGCATTAAGCTACTAGTTGACTCTGGTGTTCTGTGGCAGCGTGGTCCTTCTCCTTTGTGCTACAACCATTATATACGAGTAGTTGTAGTGTGTCTCTATCTCGTGAAATGTAGTAGAACCACGTTTTTTGAAATTTAGGACAGTAACTACGTTTACTGTAATATAGTAATGCCGAATGTAGGACAAAAATCATAATAAAACTATTTCGGAAAAAGTACCAATTTATTAATTTCACACATTAGTAATTATAGATTTATGTCAATTAACATTTTAATAATTTTAAGTTAATAACTATGTACATGCACAAAAATAGAACAGAGCTGCTTAAACTAGGTCCTTAAAGATAGGTATCTTTGGTTAAAATAATAAATAAAAGCAATTGCTCACTATAATTATTTATATAAAATAATTATATAATTACAATAATTAATTTAGAGGCTAATACAGTCTTTATTATAGCAGTGAAAGTATAATGAATAAGTAAGAAATTATTTTCTTAATAATTCGTAAGAAAGATCATTAATATTATAGTCTTTAACAACAATAAATAAAAATGAGAGAATGTGATATTTATTTTGTTCTTACGCCACTAACTAAATATAATACATATCTTAAGTCAAAATATCTGGTCACTTTTTAAATAAATTACCTTATTTAATTGATTAGTTCCGTTACAGCCTATCAAAAGTAGACTGCTGAAAATAGGTTACCTCATAGATTACCTCATAGGAGAGATATTTTCCATAGTTGCCACGCTTTGCAGGCGGGACGGCAACCGTATTTTTTAAGCCCGGACAAAACAGAGGGGTATTACTCGTATAAGTTTAACGTATGTATTTGTGTATCTGTGTGTCTGTCTGTAGCATTGTATCGCCCAAACGGACAAACTGATTTTAATTTAATTGTCTTTTTTTGGAAGGTGACTTGATTGAGAGTGTTCTTAGCTATGATACATGAAAATTTAGTTATCCGTTTGAAGATCATCAGCTCTTTTTGTTTCAGCGGTTTTAAAATTTTTATTTAGATTATTTAATAATTAGTTATATGACTGTTAAGACGTTGCTGCCCATTTCCTAGTTTGTTTCCTTGTATCGCCTTTTACGAATTATACAGGACGATATGTAATAGTGAATTATTATATACTTACAATACCATAACACGGTCAATACCGCCATTATGCGGTTAGTGTTAGTTCATCGAGCTCCCGTTTTGTCTAGCAATTCGTCAAAATGGGTAGCATTATCTTACTTGTTGCTACCCCAAGTATCATTGTACCCACTTTTACATTATAACTTGAATTGCAGGAAGTCGCAGATTCTTAGAACTTTGCAAATTTATAAAAAAAATAGTTAAGCCACAGGGTGTGAGGCATTTCATTTTTACCTTCTGAAGACCATTCATCCTTGACTTTGTTTCTTTGGAGTTAACATAATGATTTTTAATATTTACGCTAACACTACACATTGAATAAAACTACTTTTACGGATTGTAAACGCGATAAAATCCATAAAAGTAGTTTTATTTAATTCTGTGGAGTTAGTTGGATGTGTCGATGTGCTGCAGTAAATGCTTACTATCTGATACTCTTAACCCATTTGTCATACCAATATTATAAAAAAAAACTTTTTCAAAAATTTATTCCTGTTTCAAAGAAATATCATTTACAGTTAAACAAAAATGTGCATTATCATCATCATTACAGTCCTTCACAAGTCCACTGCTGAAACAACAGAAATGTTAATAAACATAAATTTAAACGTTTTTTTTTTCTATTCATAATATCGAATGGAAATTAACCTATTTTTACCTGGTGCGCTCATATCATTGTTTCTCATATTTAAAAACATATTTAGATATATTTTATCTTTCATTTTCTAGATTTAATACAATAAAATATTCTACCTTGAATTATGCTACGTCATATTAAAAAGAATTATCATCATATATGATAATGAAGCTGTTACCACCTTACTTGAAGATGACTTATAATACTTTACTTCGTCTTGTGTTGGTGGAGAAAAGGATGCTTCGAAACTGTACTTGCTCGGACATGGCAACATTTCTGCTGGTATGTGCAATAATTTTCTCCGGTATTCTATTTTATTACTTGGTAATTCAGATTCTTGGTCTTGCAACGTGTCTTCGTAAACAGGATCATCTTCAATATTACCTTCCCCATCTTCATACATTTTTTCGAAGGTTTTTTTATATGCCATTGAATTTAATGTGTGGGATGAATCCATCATTTTCTCAGCTTTAGAATAATTTGTATTAGGTAATTTAATATCACTGATGCAACTAAGTCGAGCAAGAGCAGTTTTGACGCGTCTACTTCGGGTTTCATTACTTAGTTTGTGTAGCCAAGATAAACTACAATCACAATTCAATTTGTTACCTGTAACACAAGAAACTGTTATATTTTCCATGATATAATTAAAACAAAATGTATATTTGTGTAAAATAAATAATTTATATAAAGATTTTCATAATGAATATTGCATAATATTTTTTTCATTACACTTGCTAACTCTTTTTTTAAAGCATTATATTCCATTATTATATATTATTATATTTTATTTGTCCTGTTCGTGGAATAAAAATATACATACCGTAATATGGTTAGTTTTATATAAATAAGCTAATAACCAAACATAATCCATATAATTTCTTATAACTTACCAGCAAGGGCAATCAAAGCATAATTTGTCTTAAAGTTTTCAATGACATTTTGCACAACTTCCTCTTTTAAGGTTTCCAGTTCATTGTTTCTTAAATCTAAAACATTCAACTTCTTCACATCTCCGAAAACATTGTTATCTATAACTCCCAAGTTATTGTCAGCTATTGAAAGTTTTCGCAACTGAGTCAGTCCACCAAATCCTCTTTCTGAAATAAATTCTATTTCATTGCTGTCAAGATAGAGCTCTTGAAGGCTCCAAAGTTCGGTAAATGCTAAGTCGCCTATCATCATCAATTTGTTGTTTCTCATATCCAAACTAATTAAGTTAGATAATCCTTGAAAGTTTTCTCGAACAATAACTGCTAGTACATTGCTACTAAGATCAAGCTTAATAAGATTATTCAAGTGCTTAAAACATCCGTCATGAAGAACTTCTATTTTATTTTTTGATAAAAATAACCGTTGCAGATTAGGAAGGTCGTAAAAAACGTCTCTTTGTAGTTCTGATATTTGATTATCTATCAAACTGACATTTGAGAGCATTATAAGGTGAGCAAATGACATTTTATCTAGTTTCACTATTTTGTTCTTGGGTAGCATTATTTCACGCAGCGATGTTGAATTTGTGAATGCGAACGATGGTATACTGTAAATGTTAGCATACTGTATGTTTAAAATTAGCAAACGTTCCAATCTGACTATAATTTTTGCCGGTATATATGTCAAGCCACCATCGGCTCTTACATTGAAACTTAATTTTTCAATCATGGGTTGCGAATAAAAATTAGACCAGAACGGATCGTCTTCAGCAATTCCACCATTAAACACCCAACAGTCAGCTTTCGTCGCAGTTTTAATCTTAATATTTTCACAGTAGCAATGAACTTTCGATATTCTGTCTTGTATATCACAAATATTTACGTAATGTGAGTATAAACTTTTATCACTCTTCCATCTTCTTTTATCATTTTGTCTACTTTCTGTAAGGTTTATTTTTACTGTAGCAAATGCTATAATTAAAATTAATAATTTGTATTCCATGGTGGTGTTCAATCAAACCTGAAACAAAAAAATATATTTCAATTTAAATTAAAAATTATAATTTTCGATAAAAATATGAGAAAATGTTATATGTTTGTGTTAAACTATCTCTAACGTATTTCAGAAAGATATAATTGGTGTCACATAATATATTATGACCGAGTCATATTTAAAAAAATATACAGTACTTATAACTTTATAAGTACCATTAATGAAATATATGAACTATAACTTCAAAACATAATATAATATGGTATTTACGTAAAAAATAGTCAAACATAAGTTTGTGGAATAATTAGTTTGAATAAATAAAATAGTACCTTTAGGTAAAACTTGATTCAATAAGAGTAAATGTTAACTTAGAAATAAAATCTAGAATAGATTATAACTTTCACATTCACATTCCAACAACTAAAACCAAGTCCGCTGAAAATAACAACTGAATTAGATATTTAAAGTAATTTTATTTTAAATTTACTCCTCATTTAGTTGCTTTTTATATTTTCAAATATTATTTGAAATTATTATTTATTACTGTTTAGTTCTATATTATCATAACTTGAAATAAAAATCAAAATAAAAATAAAAATCAGCAATTAATAATTATTTTAATCACAATAACGATATTTAAACTAATCGTAAAATTTCCTTATGAAAAGTTTGAAGCTAACGTACTTTGCTTTTAGATCCGAGAACAAAAAGGAAGGTCCTTTTTGATTACTTTTAAAATATTAAACCTTGATTGGCTACTTAACACACATGATTGAAATTTTTGCTTACAACGCAAACAAAAGTTTTATTTTAACAAATGAGAACAGGTCCTTAACCTTTTCGCTGTCCCGTACACTACATGTAGGTCATTGATATTGTCTTACTATTGTGTCTGAAAACCGGACAGTGAAAGTGTTAACTATTTAAAAGGTCTTTAAAGTAATAACCTATAATGATACAACGAGACAAATTTTAAGATACTATTTAGAATTAAGATTTTAAGTTAATTTTTAAAGTAATTTAAAACTAATATTTTAATCCTCGTCGGAATTATAAGATGTTTAAATATCAATATAAAAAGTTAGCTTAATTTTTTTGTTAAGATTGATCAAATTGCAACCATGTTTGAACTCGTATTCAAAAATTACTCTAAGTTTTGAGGTTTCCACGTTTAATTTATATTACTAAATGTAAAAAAAATAATTATAGAAAGGCAAACAATAGAACGTCGTAAATTTTTTGAATTTGTAAATATATAGTTTATGCGTAAATAAGTTTTAATCACAAATCTTGAACAGAGCAGGTTTAATTGTAATTCGAATTGGTCACTCCATTAAAATGACAACTTCATTTTTAACCCCTATTTATCTGCAACATTAACATCGATTAATTTAATAGGGTTACATACTCATAATTAATTTCGACTGTATCCGGCTATTTAGTCAATTGTACTTTATTAACGTTTTAATTCAAGCATCTTGACACAATGCACATAAGACTATTTAAAGACCATTAATTCATTTAGTGTTAAGTCTATAGCTGAACATAGGAGTATGAACGCAGCGCTCAGAATTTGACGTACCACGACTTTGACTTATATTTAAGATACGAAATTATCTTTATCATAATATTTACATTTCATCATCATCATCATTCTAGCCTATCAATAGTCTACTGTCAGCAGTGACCACATAGGCCTTCCCATATGCCCCTTTGGGGGGAGGTTGCCATAGTTGCCACATTTGGAAGACGAGTTGACAACCGTAGTTTTTATTATTATTTTATTTTGTTATCAAAAAAATAATGCTGTCCATCTTCTGTTTTAACTAATAAACAATAAGTATCAAGTACAAATATCAAGCACTAAATATATTCACACGAAAATTACTAATACTTGAACATAAACAAAAACACGTACTAGCCCACGACCCAAACCTGAAGTTTTTAGCTCCTTATTGTGCCATTGATGAAACACATTTATAATTATTTTGATAATTTCAAGAATAGGACTGCTGGTGTGCCATAATTACCTAATTCTTGTGATTTCATTTGATTTAATATAAGTGACTAACTGAAATCTAAGAAGACTGAATTTAACTGCCTGTCATTATCTTATGTATAATTAGGTGATACCCGGCGCATTGCTGTCGTAAAATAAATAATTGCAGAAATATCGTTTTAAATTTGTAAGACTAAAACTGTTTGATTAGCAATGAGAAAAGATTAATTGAAATTGAATTATATACAACTTTCAAATAAATTTGTTGTTGCGATACGCGTGCCACCTTCTGTAAGTTAATTGTATTATGCCTATAACCTTCGCGGAATTGCAAGCAATACGTTGACAAAGTTTTACCGCAATGTAATGTACAGTTGAGCAGCGCATAAAATGCGCACAAAAAAATGTTTTATTGTATATTAGACTAGTTGACCAGGCAGACGTTGTTCTGCTCTTTTCGACGACCCTTTGTCTAATAAAAAAAAAACTTAAATTCGCAATAAAAAATATTGATGGTCACTAAACGGGATAAAAATATGCTATCTCTCAAGTTTGATCAAACTGCACACAGTGTGCAAAATTTCATTAAAATCAGTTCAGTAGTTTATGAGTTCATCGCGGACATTTTATATAAACATTATATATAAAGGTTAATTAGATTTATTAATTTAAAATAATATAAAAGTTACAATTTAACAAGGTACACTATAATAGATGTTTGTAGTTATTTGTGATTGTTTGTTGATTCATCATCATCATTACAGTCCTTCACAAGTCCACTGCTGAACATAGGCCTCCCCCAAAGAATGCCACAAAGCACGGTCCTGAGCCACCTGCATCCATCGACTTCCTGCATAGCTTACCAGGTCGTCACTCCATCTAGTGGGGGGACGCCCTACACTTCGCCTGCCGGTACGAGGCTGCCACTCGAGAACCTTTCTTCCCCATCGGTTGTCGGTTCTTCGAGCTATATGGCCGGCCCATTGCCACTTCAGCTTACTAATCCGTTGGGCTATGTCGGTCACTCTGGTTCTACTGCGGATATCCTCATTTCTGAGTTTATCATGCAGAGAAACTCCGACCATAGCCCCCTCCATAGCTCGCTGAGCGACCTTGAGCTTCCTCATCTGGCCAGCAGTGAAGGACCACGTCTCAGTTCCGTATGTCATCACTGGCAACACGCACTGGGTGTACAGTCTCGTTTTCAAGTTTTGAGGTATACCTGACGAGAAGATGTGCCGTAATTTCCCGAACGCTGCCCAACCGAGTTGAATCCATCAATTGACCTCTCGGTCGAAGTTGGACTTACCTAGTCGGACTATTTGTCCCACGTAAACATACTTGTCATCAACTTCGAGCTTAGTGTTCCCAACAACTACCGGCATAGGTGTGACATGGACATTAAACATGATCTTTGTTTTGTCCATGTTCATCTTAAGACCTATCACAGTTGGGAAATACTATTGAGGTCATTGAGCATAGTGCTTAGGTTCTCCAGCGATTCTGCCATAAGGACTATCTCCGCGCCCCGAAGACGGCAGCTGTAGTGATTACACTACAGCCGGACGCGGAAAAGAAGGGCGTTACCTACCGCGATCTGCTCGCGAAGGCGAAAGAGGCGGTGGATCTCGGGGAGCTCGGGATCACTGGGGGCCTCCGGCTCAAAGTCACCCAGACGGGGGCCCGTATGCTGGAGATCCCCGGGGAATCCAGTGGCGCGACTGCAGACGCTCTGGCTGCGAAGCTCAGAGCGTCCCTGCACGCGGACGAGGCCCGAGTGTCCAGGCCCGTTAGATGCGCAGACCTGCGCATCATGGGTCTGGACGACTCGGTATCGGAGGAGGAGTTGGTGGCTGCCGTCGCCAGGTCCGGGGGGTGCACTACTGACCAGGTCAGGTCAGGCGCCATACGCCCGGATCAACAGGGTATGCATGCCGCCACGGTGTGCTGCCCTGTTACGGCGGCCAAAACCATAGTGGAGGGCCGAAGGCTTCTGGTGGGCTGGGTCTCAGCGCAGGTTAAGCTGCTGGAGCCCAGACCTCTGAGGTGCTACCGCTGTCTCGTGGGGCATCACGTATCAGTGAAATGCGCCTCGGAGGTTGACCGCAGTGGCCTCTGCTTCCGCTGCTGTCAGCCCGGACACATGTCGGCGACCTGCTGCGCCACGCCGCACTGTAATGCATGTGCGGCGACCGGCAAGCCAGCCGATCACTGGGCCGGAAGCAGGGCCTGCGTGTCACCCGCCAAGGCCAAGGCCGCGGGTAGGGGAGGGCCCTCCTCCGCCGCCACCGCCTCTATGGCCACCGCCGCAGCTGCAACTGCCGCCGCCGCCGCTGTCACTGTCGCCGCCGCCGCCGCCGCGACACCGACGCCTACAGAGGGGCGCCCCGTGGAGGAAGCTGAAATGGAATGCCTATAACGGCCCCATTAAGCTTCCTCCAGGCGAATATCAACCACTGCGCCTGCGCTCAGGATCTGTTGCTCCAGAGCATGGCGCAGTGGTCGATTAACATCGCTGTGGTCGCTGAGCCGTATTTTGTCTGGCCTAGGAAGGACTGGGTGGCGGACCTTAACGGCTCAGTGGCCATCATTTCTTCGGCCGCCGCCGGTACCCCGACCCTTGAAGGTGTCAGGAGGGGTCAGGGGTGCGTAGCAGCACGGTTCGGGGAGTTCGTCGTTGTGGGGGTGTACTTCTCCCCGAACCGATCTCTCGCCGAGCTCCACAACTCTCTTGCAGAGCTGAGAGCAGTCGTCGTCGGAAGCTATCCCCTCCCCGTGCTTGTCCTCGGGGACTTCAATGCCAAGAACTTGGCTTGAGGTTCTCGGCGTACAGATGTGCGGGGTAGGATGGTGGAAGACTGGGCTCTGGAGACAGGCCTGGTCGTCCTAAATCGGGGTTCTGTCCCCAAGTGTGTGCGGATGCGGGGCGAGTCAGTGGTGGACATTTCGTTCGCTAGCCCCGCTCTGTCGCCGCGTGCCATTGACTGGCGAGTCATGGAGGGGGTGGAGA